TTGTACATATATTATATGCTTAATCCCTGCAATTGTGTATTATATACGCATAATATTTGTACCCATTTTCCTGATGCCACTATGAGAAACAGGATAGATTGTTTTTGTGATTTAAGGAAAGATGAACCAGTCAAAACCCTAACTGTAACAGAAATGATGGCACAGAGTTATGTTGGCAGATTGGAACAGCAGAATAAAGATTTGAAACAGCAACTATCCAGTACTAAGGAAGAAATCAGTTTTCATTTGGAAGCTTTAGAATTTTCAAAGGATTGGCATAATAAACAGAAGCAAGAGTTATTAGATAAGATTCAAAGATTTGAAAAGTGAGGTTGAACAATTAAAGAGACAGCAGACTCAACTAACGGCACAAATTAAAGTTAAAGAAACTAAGAAATGATCTTGATTGAAAATAAAAAGGTAATTTTTGGTTATTTCCCTCTGTATAATTCCAACTATCAAAGAAATGGTAGTTATTTTCCTTTTAAAGATTTTTGCTTTTTATTAGGTAATAATACATCATCATGATGCTTTCTTTTTCTGACATCAATTTTTTTCTTTCTTCTTGGTAGATTTCATAAGTAATCCTTTCTTTTTTTAAATAAGTTTCAAGTGTCTGAGTATCATTTATTTTGAAAATGTAAGGAGCAATTTTTTCACCTTGTTCCTTTTTTAAAATGCTCCTGATAGTACTATAATTCTTGGGTTCCATAGTGGATCTGATATAAATTAGTTTCATATTATTATTTTATATATAGGGATATATCACTTAACAAATGGGACATTATAAAACTAATTGTGATGATAAACTAAATTTTGATCCCTGAAATCTTTGGTAATACCAATGTTCACTTTGCCTGATTTTGTTGCAGTATGTATTCTGTACAATAAAATTTGATGTTATATTTATTGAAAGAAAAAAAAATTCTTTATTACTAGGTTTATTGTATTAGATAATATTTAAAACACATAAAAAAATTTGTATTGCCAATATTTTGATAATTTAAAATATAGATTTATCAGTTGTCTTGTGATAGTAAATCATAATCAGGAATTGTGAGATTAAATTGTTGAGTGTCTACAAATACAACAAATACAAATGAATAAAAATATATAATATTAATGTAGAAATATTTTAGCCATTAATGAAATTGCTAAACATTACCATAGATTGAGACTGGAAGATTTTTAAAATCTAATAATCTACTAGTATAAATGGCCTTATCATGTAATTTTGAAATTGGTTTATTTGAATTTTCAGGTTTAATTTTATCACAAAATCCTAATTCATCAGGTTCTTCTAATATTTCTTTATGTTTATCAACAAAAATACATTTATTAAGAATCAAATTTATTTTTATCATACTAGGTCGATTTTTTGGATTCGCATCCCAACATTCTTGCATTAGCTTAAGAAAAAATTCTGGCATAACATCAACAATTGGTGGACGAAGACCTTGGCAAATATTCATTGCTAAATCAAAGTCATGTGGTTGATCAGAAAATGCTATTTGGCCTGAAGCTATCTCCCACATAAGGATACCAAAACTATATACATCTGAAGCTTGTGTGTAAGGGTTCTTAAGCAAAACCTCAGGGGCAATATAAGGTAAAACGCCAAATATGCCATCACCTGTTGAACCAACTTGACAAGTTAAGCCAAAATCGCTTACTCTTGTCATGGGTACAAGATGAATAGCAGAGTCTTCATCGTCGTCATCCAACAGTATGTTACCACTATGTAGATCACGGTGAACAAGACCAGCTTGATGTATTGTAGCGAGGGCAGTTGAAATTCTCATAAGGAGATAAAGTTTAGTTTTCCATAACATTTTATTTCCAAATGACTTATTTAATGAATCACGTAGTGAACCTTGATTTGCAAACTGTGTTACCATCATGTATTCTTTTGTTTCTGGGTTCTGGGTTATTCCATAATATCTTAGAAGATCATTATATCCATCAAAAATTTTCATTGCTATATAAAATGAATCAATTATTATTTAGAAGAAATTTTTTTTTAAAAAACCCCCAAAACTTACCTTCAATATAAATGCTAAGCTGTAATAAAAAATAACATGGATTACTAAAATGAATCAAACTTAGAATAATTCTAAATAAGTAACTCTACTTACCTCAGAAAAGAATCCATCCATGGCTGGTCCTGAATGATTAATACTTTTAAGAGCAACAGGATGGTTTTCTTTTCTACAAAAAATTTCGATCAAACCTCGATCATAGGCTTTCGGACCATCCAGCCATGTTGCAGAATAGACACTCCCAAATCCTCCTTTTGCTAAATAATGGACATTAACTAGTCTTTTGTATGGAATCCACTCTAAATACTGCGCCCATCCAGTTGCATTAAGTTGAATTTCTTGAATAAATTTGTCTATAATTTGATTACCACTTGACCAGTTAGAAAACTCAGCTTGAAAATATTGGGAGAGGCATTGAAGACACCAATAAAGATATTTATTTTTTACATTACACTTGGGGCAATTGTCCATTTTTTTTGAGGAAAATTTAAGGTCAAGATAAAGGCAAACAAATTATATTTTATTATAACGATTAGTATGACAAATTGCTAATACGGTGCAAGATCATCTATAATTAATTAATACAACACACACTTGTTGTCTATTTGCATAACTTTGATGTACATGATTCATACGTAGTATGCAAATAGACAGTTGTGACTATAATAATAATAATAAAATTAATAAAATTATTATTATCATTATATTAAACCTGTAATTAAAACAATCCATTGTAATATTTATCATCCAATAATTATTACCATCTAGTTATCATCATCTATCTAATTAATTAATTTTATTATTATTATTATTATAAAAAAAATTACTATTTTTTGATATTAGCTTTAAAAATAACAAACATATATTTACCACTTACAGTTATTGCTATAGTTGGAGTTGCTTGAGTGAAGGTTGTGGTTGTCTGCAATGTTGTCGTTATTATTAACAATTAATTTGTGATATTAATATGTATATGTCGATCTGGGCAAAAATGTGTAATAATAATAATTTGGCAATTACTATTACTATTATTATGATTATGATGACAATTTATTAAGGTGAACAAATATAATAATAATAGTAATTAATTTTATTGTTTGATAATTATGAATATAAAGAATTGAAGAAATAATAATTAACAATAAAGAAATTTATTTATTAATAGTGATAGACCTTTGACACTGTACATCAAGCAAGGCTTGAATATTTCAGAACAAAGCTCAAAAGGGTTGTATTTTCCATATGTAACTGTTAGTTATTTTTACATAAGAATACAATTTAGTTTTTTAACTTACTGTAGAATTTTAAATTCCCAGAATTGAATTATTTATTATAAGGATTTCCTATGGTCAATCGACAACGGCATTGGATTGAGTGAATGAATGATGGCGAAGTTTGGATTTTTTATATACAACCATTAGTTATTTTTACATAAGAATACACTTTAGGTTTTTAGTTTACTGTAGAATTTTAAATTGCTCAAAAATTCCCAGAATTGAATTATTTTTTATAAGGTCTATTACTTTCAACCGACGACGGCATTGGATTGAGTGAATTAATGATGGCGAAGCTTGGATTTTTTATATACAACCATTAGTTATTTTTACATAAGAATACACTTTAGGTTTTTAGCTTACTGTAGAATTT